CTCAAACTCAAAATCACAGCTGTTTCCAGCTGCCTGCCAGGGTCTAAAATGCTTCTGACCAAGGTCTGGAACCTCTAAAAATGTCTGAGAGACATTTTGAGTTCCAACACATCTGAAGGTGTATAAATTCAAAAGCATCATGAAGAGCTTCATCCTTTCCATCCTTAAAAGAAATAAAGAGCTATAGCACCTTGTTTTGTGTCTGTAGTCCTTTATGTTACTTTATATTTTAAGAGTTCTGGGCTAGGCTGCAAATTGGGACGGTTCTGCGGCAGGTGCTGCAATCCAGCTGAGACCTGACAAGGACCAAGGGAGCCCTGCTGGGCCTTGTAGTAAATATTACATTGGAGAACACATTTTACATTCCTCGTGTATCAGCAAGCACAAACTAATTAAGCAGTTGAAAACATGATGGAATCCAGAAAGTCTTCAGGTTCCTGTCAGAATAATTGCTCTCTATAGTGTGCTTCCATTAACATCTCTGAAAGTGTAAAATCCTTTGGGGTGGTAAAACCATGTTCTTGAGCTACAGCATTGTTCGGTTGTCAGGGTGCAGCAGGTACACTGATGAGAGCATGTTTTGTTTGGTTTTATTCTCTATGTCTGCTGTCACAATGATGTATTTAAGAAAGTTGCTGTACTTGGAAAAATTACATTATAGGCATCTAAGACTCCCAAATGCCTCTGGGCACAAACTTCTTAAAAATCTGCACCCTTTTCGGGGTGTTTTTATAATTCATGTTTTTCCTGTCATTTTTCATTAGTACTTTATCACCAGACATTCAGAAACAATATTAATTTTCAAATGTCCTGCAGCAGTGTTGTCTTGTTGTTAACTCTTGTCATATTTCACTCATTGGCTTTGAAAATGGAAAGTGATGAATGGCTGCAGTGTTTTGTTTATAACGTCTCATTCTGGAGCTTTCTATAAAAGTAGTACATTTTCATTACTTACCACTGGGTCGTTGAAGGGACTTGGGTTTTTTCCTTAATATATGAAAAAGTTATTAGATTTAAAATCACAAAAATGAACCCTCAAAGAAATTATGGAAAGGATATTTTAAGAATATTAATTCCCATTTTGGTTCAATCCTAATTTATTTAGCGCTAGTATGGAATGATCAAGCCTAAATTATTTTGAACTTTCTCACACTTATGTACCTTAAAACAGAAGTGATCATGACACAAACTGACTAAAATTTTACAGCCAATCATATTTTAATAAAATAATTTTTTTCCTTTTTGAGAAATAATCTCAGACATGAAGGCATGCACTTGTGTGTTTAATATGATCAGAAAATTAAAATCCAGATGTTTGCTTAAAAGTTAAGACATATTTGAAACCACAAAGGAGGCCTTTTCTTTCTGCTGCATATATTTAAAATGGGCTACTTTTGAAAGAAATTTCAGAACCCCATTTGCATCCTAATTGCAGCCCATTTCCTGAGTCCACAGTTAGGCAGACTATTACAGAGTGGCACTGGGGATTTCTGGGGCAGTGAAATTGTTGGTTCTAGCTGAGCTACTGAAAAATAAAAGGGAAAAAGATGAATGGATTTTTTGCTTCAGCAGTCACCAGCTGGCAGTTCAGCTCCTTGGAGCTCCGCCAAGCAGCAGTTTACAGCAGCCCTGCAGCTGCTCTAGGCTGGGCTGGAGCATGACTGGCACCAAGCCACCTTCAGCTTTGGACAAGGACTCAGCCTTGGAATTGGCCAACAGATGCGCTGGGATTGTGGCTTTGCTCGTTCATGTCTGATGCTCACAGAATGCAGTTGGTACCTGAAAGTTCAGCACTGGGAAATTTGCCTTGATTGTGTGCAGGAAGATAAGGAGAAATAGGTTAAAAATAAATGTTTAACTTTGTCCGAAGTCAGTTTGGTTTGGGAGGTTTTTGGTATGGCATGTGTGGCTTTTACTTTTGTGTGACATTTTTCTTATTTTGCCCAGTTCATAAGAATCCTAAATAATTGTAAAATGGACCAGCAAGAAAATTGGTTGCACTGCATTCTTTCAAACTAAATTACCTGAATTCATCAAAAGAAAAATTAATTCATTTCAATCCTGTACGTTGTAATTTTTATTAAAATGTTATAATCCTACCAAAAAGTAACTTGTATAGAAATCAAAGCAGTGCTGGACTTTTTATTGACAGTATTTTGGAGGGAGAATAATGTTATTGGGATGAGGAGAGGGGGGAGGATTTCTTGTTGATTTTGACTCTGATCTGACAATTGTTCTATCTTTTCCTGATTAGAGGCTGTTCTTCTATAATTTATCATAGATAACAACAACAGGATTGGGTTTTGGCAGTGTTTCATTAAACTCTCTGCTCATTTGGTGTGTAACTATGCATCTGATATAAAGAGTCTGTCTTTTCTTGTTAACCATCTTATTATCTTATGGCTCAGGATAAACCAATTTCTTAACATTCTGATGGTATATTCTGAATTTCTGTTGGTGTTTTAATGTAGATAGATTCGCTCTTAATTTGTCACCACCTGGTATTTGATTAATTATTCAGTAGGATGAGAATTTCAGCAAGTTATTTCACAGAACTAAGACCTTCCCTAACCACATGTATATTATTAAACATTTATTGATACATACACACATATTGTCTCCCTTCATTGGCCAGCAACCAGAAGCCAGTATTTCATAGACCTACAAACCAAGCATTTATTTTCTAAATTGAAAATATTTCAAGTGAAATATAACCTTGATAAGGAAGAGGAAAGAAACACCCCGGTGCTAGATAGTCATAACAGCATTTCATCAAGTAAAAAAACAATAGGTGACAATAAGTGACAATAATCAGCTGAATTTAGATAAAATCTTGCATTAAAAAATCATGAAGCTATTGTGGACAACTAGATGAACACAAATTATCAATTTAATGTTGTTGCCAAATAAAATTACTAACCTCCTACTGGAGTAATTAATAAGAAATAGATGTAGTCCTTCATAGGATTAATAGTGTTTGTTCTGCTTCATAATAGTGGGGTATTACCTTGAGTACTGTACTCCTGAGCCTTCTACTTCAAGAAAAAAGTAGTGGAATTACTGAAGGGGATCTGTAGAGAAGTATGAATGACTCAGAGTCTAGCAGATGAGTCCTATGAGAGAAAATAAACGTGGTTTTTTTTTATTGTAGAGCAAAGAGGATTAAAGGGTTGCTTGACAGCATTCTTTGAAGTCATAACCAGGTATTCAAAATCAAATAGCAATCTTTCTCCATTTTCACAAGAGAGAGAGAGAGAGAAGGAAGGGTCTTGAAGCCAGAAAGATACAGTTTTGACATCAGGAAGACCTTTTCTAAAAGTAAAAGTAATATAGTGAAAAAATCTTAGAGGAGAAGGCTGTACAGGTTACACCAATGAAGGTTCTTAAACAGATGATTACAGACCATAAATGTCCAGAGGGATAAACTTGAGTTAACCCGAAGTTCAGGATAGACTCGAGGTCCCACCATGAAGTTCCTGTAAGAGATACGGGGTGACACACAGTAGCTCCTGAATCATTCCCTTAAAATAAGTGCTTGGATTTTTGACAGGGCATTAATTTGACTATTGTCCCAGTAGGAAGATTATATTTACTGGCATGGAAAGAAATAATAGATAGATAGATAGATAGATAGATAGATAGATAGATAGATAGATAGATAGATAGATAGATGAAAAGTGTTTGAAATTACAGACACGTTCTCCCCAGAATGATACCAGATATCAGATATAAAAACTGAAGCAATGTTTTCCAGAAGTGTTCTGCTCCCATTTATGAATCTGTGTGCAATAGGCTCTGAATAAAATGGGGAAAAATGATGCTCCAGTCCTAATAATTTTTTTTTTAATATCATCTCTGATGCCTACAATGCACTGCAATCCTTATACCCAAATCTGCATATGGCTCTGCATGGAATTGTGACCATTAGCCTTCACTAAAAAAAGGATTTAAGCTATGAATACTGACAATATTATTCTTCTGTGTTGCTTAAAATAGAAATGCATGTGAAGTTGTACAATTCATTCTGAAACAATATATCTGAATTTCCTGTGGAATCATGAAACACCATGAAATACTTTTAGCCAAATATTGTTGGAAGGCTTGGTAGTAGTTTTATTCCCTCATCTTTGTTCTGCAACATCAGAGCCCATACGTCAGTGTAAATGTCAAGAAGCTGCTCCTGTGTCCTTTCAGAGTTCTGTTGCAGAAAACCTGTAAGGAGTCAAATTGTGTTTTTGTTTCAAATTAACCAGTAGCTTTAACCATTCCCTAGGAAAGGGTACCGTCATCTCCTCCCCAGTCCGGTGTTCTAGGGACAGTACGAAGCATGCAGTGATCTGATTTGCCATGCACAGATAAATTACCATCATTTCAACAAAATCAGGTGCACGCATGCTTGCACAGCATCTGAAGTTGGTAACTTGCTGGAATCCTTCTTACATTGTATTTTTTTCCAGGCAGCTGAAATAAAATTCGTGCTTTTCTGTAGCATGTATTTGACTTGTAAATACATAGCAAAACACCTCAATTCAAAGGACAGTGAAAATTGAACATGTTCTGAGCTTAATCAAGGCATGAAGATGTTTATAAAATATGTTCTTTATATTTTGTAAGGATTTGAGAGTATTAAGTGTTGAACTCTGTGTGATCAAAATTCTCTTTGTTTCATTATGTGAAATGCTTTTGAAAATCTGCTTACAATTCATGGAAACTCCTTATCCATTTATTACATTCCGGAAAAAAATCCTCCTTTGATTTAAACTATTTTTTAAGGAAAATGCCCAAGTAATTACCTGTAACAAGCATTTTTCAATCCCAGTGCTGTTAAATGTGAATTAAGTTTTGGAAGTTTTGCCATCAATTGGAATCGTTTTTCATTTTAATCTGCCAGACCCGTGTGCTGTTCATGTGTAGTGAGGAGTGGTTTATGTACTCCACACCATTTCTCTACTGTGTTCTATTACTAATACTTTTTGTTTTGTCTTCTTTTGTTTCCCTAGACTACATATCCAATCAGAATGGTGAGCCAAAATCTCAGCACAAGGGACAGAAAGTCAGCACTTACTCCCACCGAGGACCCTTTTAGACACCCACCAGGCAACCAAGCAGCAGCGTATGAAAGCAAGAGCTGTCAGCTGTCTAATTTGTGTCTGAGCAGCCTCCTGAAGGAGAAGGAGATTGTGGAAGCCATCAAGCACACCCGAGGCTCATACGGAAGCCTGGCCTCAGAGGCCACCCAGAACGGTTTGGCTGTCACAGCCCCCAGCTCAGCAAAGCCAGCATACAAGGCCGACGGCTGCCCCATGTTCTCAGGAACTCCAAAAGACCAAAGTGCTGTGCCTCGGCAGCACACCACCTTCACAGGGAGACTGGGACAGCCCCCCAGGGGACCCATCTCTTTACACATGTACAGCAGAAAAAACGTTTTCCTCCACCACAATTTACACACGTCAGAGCTGCAGACTTTAGGTCAACAAGATGGTTAACAAGGTGCTTATTTTCTTGCCATGGAAGGAAGGTTGATTAAAGAGGGATGTAAGCTCATCTAGAGCTCTGTCTTCAGTTCTCATCTGCTGCTACTTTCATGTGAAAAAAAAATAAAATAAAAATTTAACTTTGTCTGTAAGTTCCATATTTTCCCACCTTGGACTGAGGCAAAAGGATGAACAAGATTGTTAAATAACTGGGCTGATTTGTCATGCAGAATTCACCATGACTTTAATAAATGGAACCATTTGGCTGGCACTGCTAGTCCAATATTGGCTAAATATATTTTACCCCTCTGTATGTCATTATCATTCCCTGAAGTTCTAGAAGATGATCTTTAATGAAACCTGTATGTTTAATAATATTACTGTTAAAGTAGATGTGAGGAATAAATAGATAAGTAATTAGTAAACCCTCTTGAATTTCATAGAGATTAGGGGAATAAGGAGTCAGAAATCTTTAAGGACCTTCTTTTTACACATTTCTTTTTAATACACTGAAATTTGGTAATTTAGAGAGTGTTACCACTTCCTGCTGTATTTGTTTCATGAGTGCCTCATTCACTCATGGAGGCAGTGATTGATTTTCCTCTAACAGGCTCATAGAAAGTTGCCAGGTATTTGAGTCAGTAAATTGGGCCCCAGACTGAGGATGTCAGCTTGTTTCCTCAACCTTCCCTTCCCTCTTCACACTTCTATTTAACTACATTTCTCTGAGTGTTTCTGTTCTATGAGGGCATGTCAAATTGTGGTGATCTTTGTGCTTTACAGGTACTGTAGCAGTCATGATGCAGTGTGACATTCTGCTGTGTAATTCATCCTATAATTTCATTCCCCTTCCCAAACCAAAAATGTGTGAAAGCCTAAAGTAAGAGAAATCATCTTATTACCCAGGTTGAACAACCTGCATCAGTCATAATTTCTGTGGGCTGTATCATCTGCACTTAAGGACCTGTTGGTTTACACCAGCTCAGTGGGTTTGTTAGTCTTGACAAGTTACAGACAAGCGAGATTAATTTATTGCCTGGTCGCACAGGAGTATGAAATCATCTGACCATGCCACAGAACCTGGAGACCTGTCGGTTGCAGAAGATCTGGTTTTCCCCTCTCAGAGGTATGGGGGCTCAGTTACTCCAAATATGTGGCATATGTGAAACATGACACTTGGTTTACAACCTCTCTGTTGCAGGGTAATCTGTTTGAGTTGTAATGGCACATGCAGTTAGTAGTTTAAAAATAATTTGGCACATTTAAGTATGATTGAGGCAGATCTGAGACGAGTCACTTCTCTCTTTAGCTGGTGATTAATAAGGAAGGACAAGGGTGCAGCACATTCTCACACACAGAAACAAGCCATTGTGACTTAACAGATAAGCATATAATGAAAAATAAAGCTTATGTAGCCACTAAAAATCTGAAACTTGTAAAAGTTAAGTCACATAGAGTATATTAAATGAAGACAAAATTTTACCTAGTGTTAAATGTATCTGCTGCATTACTTAATATTTGTATTAATATAAGGAAATTGTATTAACAAGTCTTGCTTAAACTAAGGGAAAAAATAAACCATTATCTTGGCAGATATTCTGTAAAGTAATTTCAGAAGTCATAAATTTTAGGCTTCTATTTAATTTATTTTATTTTTATTTGAGCATTTTATTTTTATTAGAGCAGAATTTATTACACTATCTGATATTGAAGAGAGCAGGTTTTGTCTAAATATTCTGTAGTCATAATTTTGGGTATCCAGAGATGGATACATAAGAACCAAGACAAACATTTGCCAAAATTCTTCATGTTCATGTGTGCATTGCTACTGCCAAAACAGAATGTGCAAAAATTGCAAACACAGCTTTACCGAATTAACTGTGGCTATTCAAGACTCCCAGTCCTGCATAGAAACTCATAATTTAAAGTCTACCAAACAAGTTAATAAGATAATTTCTCTACTCAGAATCTCTTCTTCTTCTTCTTAGCAATATCTTAAAGTCATGGTAGATTGAAAGGACAATTAATCCTTACTATCAATTCATTTAAGTATTGCTCATCTCAAGAGCTGATGTATACAATTCAATTTCAGATCTGTAAATAAATTAAACAGACACTGTAATTAAGGAAGTTTTTTCTAGGGTATAAATGTATTATGTACTATGTTAAAAAACAAAACAAAACAAACCAATACCTTCTTCAGTTTTAGGTTATGTACTGTATCTATAGTTGTTTTTTTTCCTGGGAAAATGAACTTTCGGATTTCACTTTATTTAAAAAAAATAATCTATGAACTTCAAAAATAGCATTTCAGATGTTACTATTTTCTTGGAGAATCTTTTATAGAGCTGAAACTTTAAAAAACTGGAAAAAAACAGTTCAACAAAAGTGAGGGATATTTTTTAAGTGTCATCTTGAAGCTGTTTTGTATCAGTTTTTCAGCATTGCTATGTTATTTGTAATGCTAAGTGTAAATCTCACCCAGAGAAGGGTATTAGCCACATGTTAATGTACAGTGCAGCAGTAACTGTAAAAGAGGTCCTTTCTTTGGTCCTCTTGTGTATATAGGAAATCAAAAAGCAACAGCATTTGGACATTCTTACAGTGAATTGAATCCTTTGTAAAAAATCTCTAGTTTTTTAAGAGTTCCATGTGCAAAATGATTTATACATTTCTCCAAGGCTGTACATATCCAAAGACATGACACCAGGGGGAAAAGGCATTTATTATTTTTATCCATGGATATACCTATCTTCCTTTCTTTCTTTTTTTTTTTTTTCTCTTTCTGTACAACAAGGTGTAACTGCAAAGTTTCTGCTTAAAATTACTTGTTAGTTCCATGTCTTTCAGTGTGAGAGAGGGCATTTTAAGGAGGAGGAAATCCCTGAAGAAAAACTGTTTCCACTTGCAACAGTGTCTGTCCCACTTCCTTATAACAGTCACTTGGCAAAAGAAACTAAAGATCTGTGCCCTAAATATTTTTTTTAATAATTTACCAGAATCACACCTGAAATGTGTTTGTCATCATCTTTAGACTTCCTCTGACTAGGACATGTTCATAAGATACAATAAATGTGACGGCCAGCCCTGGTCATAAGTTCTTGAGGTGTAAGGAAAACATTTGTCCAATACTGTTTTTATGTTTGACTTTCAGAGCAGTGGAAAGGGTTTTTTTGTATACCTTGTGCATGTAGATGAAGCTCAAGCTGTGTGCTTGTGCGTACTGGAAAAAGAAACCTTGCTACAAAGCTCTCCTCTATTTAGACTATTTAGCAGATTCTGAAAGCATCCAGCAACATAAATTTCTGTCACCTTTCCAGGCATGCCAGCCCTCTGTATGTAAAATGAAACAGCCAGAATAGATGCCTTTACTTCAGTCCATGCTCTAACTGTTTTTTGTTCCACACACCTCCACATAAATGTTAGAAGGGCTTTCCTTATGTGGCTTTTTTTCTGGAAACTGTGAAAGGGTGTATATCCAGAGTAAGATGCTCAAATGATGTTTAGATAAGCATTTGAAAGCTTACCAAAATGTTCATGTTTGTCCTACAGGTTCATTCCAGTCATTACAGGTTCATTGCCAATAAAAATTGGTGGTTTTCTTTTTCCAAAAAGCCAGTTTGGGAGTAATGATTTCTGTCTATGCTGATTCACTTTATACTGTTAAATACACAGTATACTTTTCGCACTAATAAAAGTAAGGTGTTTGCAAATCAGTACTGTACTTTACATGCCCTGAGAGTTGTTCACTATCTCCACTGGTTTGATTGGTATGACACTGACTTCCATTAGGTTCTACCAAGTTAAGTCACTGATAATTGGGATTGTGGCCTTTAATCCATCTAGTCTCAGTTTATGCACAGGAGATCTCTAAATCTGAAAATCTTTCCTGGTTCACAAAAAAGACAAGAAAATATTTAATCTAAAAAAAACATCAGATCATGATCTATGGTGAATGCACTTCTTTTTCCCCTTCACATTCAAAAGCAAAAAAACCCTGCAAACCCCTTTGTACATCTACACAGTCCACTAATGAATTAGATAGAGTAACATCTAACAAAATGCAAAATCTTGAAATAAATACCTGGAGAAAAAAATACAGGGGAGTCTTCTCACAGATGTTTGTCAATTTGGCAAGTTTGTCAAGATATTGGGAACTTCTGTATATGAGTGGAGTAATGAAATATGTTCTATGGCCTCTACTACTGTCACTCCAATGATTTTTTGGACGGAGAGTTTGCTGTTTAAAGTTTGCTCTAGACAAAGCAGGGACTACAGTGTGAGAAATTATATTTAAAGTGTCCATGGAGGTCTTCTCCCAGCTGGAAGAAACACACAACATTCTTTCCAGGATGTATTTTAGTGTTCTTCAGCCAGCAAGAAGCTGACAGCGATTCCTCAGGAGAACAGTCTCAAATCATGCAGACAACTGTCTTTAAGTGGAATTTACTTTAAAATATCCCATATAAGGCTCTTCTAAAATTATATGGAAATTTCAGCAACTGCAGAACACACCTTGCTAGGTTATTGTTTTTTTTTTTGTTGTTGTTGTTGTTGTTGTTGTTTTTGAGATAAAAAGGCCATGTGCTGGTTTTAACCTTGTAAGTTCTGTTTGGAACTTGTTTGCTCACTGGTGATCTACCTAGGATGTGAGAGTTTATCCACTGTAATGGATATAATTCCAACTCCTCAAAGTATAAAGACATTGGATATGTCCTCCTCCCTGAGGGGCTTGACATTTGCAATGTATTTTCAATGTAGAAGAACTATCTGGATTTAATTATCTTTCTTCAAGGATCTTTAGTTGTTGCAAAGTCAGTAGAAAAAAAACTTACTTATTGAAGTATTTTGGAAAGATTTTGTGGTTAATTTTTATTTTAAAATACACTTAAAATTTATCTCTCTGTATCTAAAGACAAGAAAATAAAAAAGGAAAAGAAAAACTTTTATCAGCGTATGTTTCCCGTAAATCTGTGATTCTCACTAGCCACAGCTGTCACTTGCATTCCATACAGCTGTGAAATATTTTGGATTTGTTGTTTTTGTTTCCTTCATTAACTGGAAGTCATTACCTCTGGTTCTGGGGTTTTGTTTGCTATCAATCCAGTACTTGAAACACACAGGGAGGGCTGTTGTGGAGGTGGTAAATATCACCTCTGTTTGGTTTCTACATCCACGTAGAGGTTGTTGAACAGAAAATACTCCACTGAGAAGATTTTTCTAGTGGGCAAATACTGTCTCCTTATATTCTTATCATGATCCTTTCTGTCTCTCTGGATTTCAGGAACATTTCCCTTAGGTATGGAGTTACAATGACTCTGTGAGACAGGCTGCACCACAGTGTTGTTTCTGCTATGAGAAGGCTCCACTGGATTTTTTTTTTTATTATTTTATTTAAAATATCTCATTCTTAAAATATTTTAATATTTTCCCCCAGAACTGCTGTGCTGCTGGGGTAGTGCATTCACAGAAAATATCCCTTGCCCATCTGGGTAGGCTGCTGGTCACAGCTGATTTACATCTACTCAACAATTGTCAGACTTATTTAGGCACCTACATAGACAAATACATTGCCAGGTTTGACTCTGCTTTTTGTCTCATTGAAAAGGCCCTAATAATGTAGTTTTACAATGCATATGGGTATCAACAGTAGTAGTAGAATTTTAACTTATTTTAATTTTCTATTTTATGTCAATGCACTTTATATAATGGTTTCATATGAATTACACAAGGAATTTTATTTTTTTCTAACCTGAACTTGATTTCAACAGGGTTCAGAATTCTCTACTTAAATTTAAGCATGTAAGCAATCCCATAAAATTGTCAAATCCCTCTTCTTTAAAAAGCTAACACCCAAATTAATATTTTTTTCTGACATTAACAATATCATTCATGTTTATTGTTTGAGCGGTATCATGCATAAAAAGTATTTTTACTTATATCTAAATATAACTACTTTTCAAACACTCCACATAAGTAGAAAAGTCAAGAAACAGCCTTCATACTAAAGTTACTCATACAGCTATACCATTAGGGTTTTTTTGCCAAAATATTATTTTATTTTTAAAGAAAATCTGTTTGTTTTCCATGATTAAGAATGAAAAAAAATCTTTTAGTACATGCTCTTCAGAATATTTGGAGAGATGACCAATATTGCCAGGAGAATATAAGCAATCAAAGTCCTTAATCAGTGATGCATCTGATGTGTTTTAAGCAAGAGGATCAACAGGATATAAAAAAAATCTGTGTAGGAGGAGAACAGATGTTTTGTTGCTCAGAAAAGTCTAATGGAAGGGTGAAGGCTGACAGATTAATAGCTCTTTTTCTGTTCCAGGGCTGGTGGTGCAGCCATTTGCTGTGAAATAACACTGAAGTAGTATATTTATGAAGTAAATGTATTGGAATAACAAGAAATGAGATAAAATGGTTGTGTAACACTCCAAAGTATGGCTGAGGGTACTTCTATAATTTGATCAAACAGCATCTGAGTGAATTGACATCCTTTTATTACCAGGGTATTATCTTTATCTGAAGGATAAGTGTAAGTGGAACAGTACAATTTACATTGTAACATAGAAACAATTCAGACAAAAAGAATAAATTAACATATTCTATCTCCAAAGTCTTCCACTTTGTACAGTCTTCTCTAACTATCTGGGGCAGTTTTATGTAATTTTATTTCATGCAGCTGTGGTAATGCCCTTATGTTGGGCAACAAGGAGAAAACATTGAAGAGAGTCATGACCATGACCCTACATCAAGAGCTGCACTTGGTTAACAGGGTCACAGTTTTGGTTCTCCTTTCCAATAAGGAATAAGGGATCTTGTGAGAAAACCTTTATATAAACATCCCCACAAGCAGCTTTGCCTATGTGAATTTTAAACTGGTTTTTGGAAAATTAAAACTTTAATTTTAAAAATTGATTAAAATTCTGTCTATTTTTGAAAATATGTTATTTAATACTGCTGAGGGCAATTAGAGAGTTTTGGGCATTTTTCTGTAAACAAAAGCTTCTGTTTCATGTATTAAAATTGGAAATTTTATCTCATCATTTCTACTACTGACCAATATAAAAATTGAATAGCTAATAAGACACTGAATTTTCTATTCTGTGCTACTAAATATCCATTTAATTTTAATGACAGTACACAGCAAGGCTATTTGTTATATAGTTCTGATTTTTTTTTTAAATATAATTGGCAATACTGTAGAGATTACTTAAATTAGAGACTTTAAAAGAACAACACAGATGGGAAAACATTAACTTGAAGGTCAAGTATAAGTAATGCACTGTTGAAGAGTGTGGAAGAATAAAGTTCTGTGGGAGACAAAGTAAAGCTTTTTCACTGAACACACTCCAGTCAGTCCAGGATCACTTTGCTGATTTAGATGGTAACAAGGAAAGAAATGAGAATATTTTTGCTAAAAGATAACATACTTAAAAATCAACTTGAAACAGAATTTGAAATAGTGAAGGTATTTGCCTCAAGGTATGGTCTGAAAAGAGAACTGTAAAATGTATCTAAATTCTGATTAAACAAATTCATTAGTGATTTTAATGGTTTTACTCTACAAAGCCATGAATTGTTTAAACTCATTCTTATGTAACAGGCAAATACTTTGTAATATTTAAGAATTGCCAAGGCGTAACCCTAACCTTTGACTTTTGCGCTACACATCCTCTGATTTTATTTTCTGCTTTTTTTTAAATTATTTTGAGGTTTTGTAACTCCTGTGCAGTAAGAATCTGATTGTTTCAAATTCAGTCATTTTGCACTGACTAAAAACAGATATGTAGCCTTTAGGTGAAAACACTGTTGATTTTTAAAATCAGATTATTGAGTAAATAATTTTTGCAGATTACTCTGATGAGTTATGACAGTTTGTAAAACAATTCTGTGGGATTGTATTGGTATTATTTAATTGTCGTTTGTTTGTTCCTGGTTTTGGTTGGCATTATTTTTCCTTCTATGTTTATGGAAAGAAATATTATTTTTGAATATTTGTACAGACTTTTAACTTTAAACCTTATTGTAAAGGTTCACATTCATATATTTCCATATTTGAAATTAACATAAAGGGCTCTGACAGTTTTTTTCTTTTCATGCTGCTGAAATATTATTTCCTAATAAAAATACTGTGTTCCAAGATGAGCCTGTTGGTGTTGATTTTGTCTTTGAAATAGCTCATATTTCTTTGACATTTCTTCATACTTTTGCTGGGAAATACATATTACACTGTAATAAACCCTAATTCTTTTATGGCTTAATGCTATTAGAAATCTGTCACAATCAAGAAATGTATCATTTTTTCTTGAGGTTCTTTAATTGCTTAATGAGAACTCTAGGTTGAAGATATTTGATACTGTGCTAATAATAAAGTACAAACACCTGTGAAGACCATTCTAAAATTTAAAGGTTATATACAAAGATTCTACTGTTTTACAGGGGAAAAAATATCTGCCTTGGTATTTTGCAAATTCCTTGTTACATTATTTCCTGAGTGTCCAAATAATTTTGATTACAAAATATTTCTCAATTCCCTTCTCCACTTCTCAATTGTTCTTAGCATGAAAATAGTAATTTCCATAAATAAAATTAGGCTTTCATTTTGGTTTTCTTCTCTTTGGCATCTTGTTCCACTATATTCTTTTGCTTTTACAGTATTTTACAACAAAACAGTGTGTATTTTTGTGTTGTCCATCCTAGTTTGCATCTAAGGATATTATAAAGCACTCCTCCTCTTAGCTTCATTTTCTCCATAGTCTATCTAAATGATACATCTTCACCTTCAAAGGCCAAAATCATTCATATTACTTTAATTCAAATATATAAAAAATAAGCAAACTTTCACATTTGTAAGGCTGTAAAGTATTTGTCTTCACTAACCGCAGTATATAAATAAAACAAGTAAAGAAGACCAAAGTGATTGCTCATTGTGTCATAACAGAGTTCCATTTCAGCTTTTCCCTGCATATAAATGATTGTTATGGGCTGCATTCTCAGACCAAGAGGTTTATTTCTTAGGAGAGGTTCTGGTTATTGGTTTGGGTTTGTTTGGGGTTTTCCTTACATTACTACCAGTGCATGATTTTCAGTGCCTGCTTTGAAAGCCTCAGCTCAGCTTCCAATTCTTCATCCAGAAATGGCTGCAGCTCATTTCACAGTACTTAGATGCCTACTACTCTTTCAGTAATACTGTTTAAAATATATGTCCCTCTAAGCTGGTTCTTCCTGTTGCTATCCACTCTAGAATAGCTGCTCCATTTCAGTGCTGTTTATAGGAATTCTTTGTAGCATTTGGATCCCTGGCAGGAATATGAAGCTTAATGGGTTATTTGACTTTATATATAATCTTCTAAGGAAAAATAAAGCTGACATAGTAGAAAAGTTTTTAATCTGATATTTTTCTGTGAATTTAAGTTACTGTATTATCAGCCTTCTACTAAATGAAGCTGAAGAAACATGAAATTAGATGCAAGTGCTGGAAAATGGAAGATCCCTGAAATTAGCACAGGTTATGCAAAATGCTTGCGAGCTAAGGCAGCTTTCCCACGTCACTCCTGTGAAACTTGAGTGTGTCCAAAATAACAGACAGCTTAGTCTTTGTGTTGTGATGGGCTTTAAAGGGCCTGACAATTTCAAAGAAAACATTATATAAGTTTTCTTACTTCTTTGTAAAGTGTTCTCTTCTTTTATGAAACAGCAGGACAGCAATTTATTCACTATCACAAAAATACCCCAAAAGCTACTGATGACTGAGAGTGAAGCAATATTCATCAGACAGCAAAGTAATTCCTCAATTAGTTTGTATGTATTAATAATATTTTATGTTGGGATATCTCAAAAAAATATGAATGTTGTTGCTTTAGAAAAACTGCCTATCAGAGAATGAGCTAAACCTTAAACATAGTTTCAGATTGAAAAAAATACTAATATGAAATTAAAAGAAATTTATCTCTGATTTTTCAAGTGTTGGAAGAATATTAATAATCAGCATAGCTCGATTTCACTCAATGACAAATGTGAAAAACTTTTTCTAAGCATTAAATGTCATTCAGAAAAATATTGCATACAGTGACTGAGTGCAAGTCAAAGTAGAAGCAAACATAATTACATCTCCATGCAGCATTCCTGCAAGCACACTGATGTTGTGCAGAGTAGTGTCAGAGGAATCAGCATCTACCTCTAGGATGCTGTATTCCAGCCCTGCTAGCAGCACTGGCTAGATGCACATACTGCTCTAAATTATCTCAGTTATTTTAATCCATTCCTCCTTTGAACCTTCACTGTTTTCCTTTTCTCATATTTCCCTTTATTACAAATTTCTATCTGTATTCCTAACGATCCTAACTATAATGCCTGTCTAATATCCCCCTTTAAGACACTGGGAACATTAGGAACTGAGTTCCACCTGTGCATTGTTTAATTCCCAGGTGATGAGATAATTACCAGGCCTCAAAAGGTAAGGGAGGGGGGGAAGGTAGTTATCACCATTATCAGTAGCAGGTGTTTAGGGTGGGTAGCACCCAGAAAAAAGTAGTGGCAGTGTATCTTGGAGTAGGACAATGTAAAGGCTTGTGAGCAGCTTAATCTTATTTATGTGGATATTTTGTTGTTTGCTTAATTTGGTTTAAGACTGTATTACTTTAGGACATTTACTTGATTTAAATGCACAAATTCAAGATTTCTATGTATGCAAGATACTACAAGCAACTAGCTGAAGAAGTGCTTTGGTAAGGTCATGCATTCCTATGGTTTAGTGTTCTGAAATATTTAAGTGGAGGTGGTTATGCTGTGGAGTTCAGTGGTTTTGCACCCATTAAATAATGTTGGGTTTTGTTTAATCCCTTATTTTGTTATGCTTATGGTCTTATTTGTTATGCTAGTCTGTCATTACTCACCTGTTATATTTCTCCTTCTATTAAATTGACTTTCATGTTGAAACTTGAATGGTGCCTACTAAAGTTAATGTGATATTTCTTCTATTAATTAATATGGTTTAGTGAAGAGAGCTCTGATTGCAAATTATGGTTGTGTGAACCCATGTACCTAATTCTGCTAGGTGTGTGTGATAACCTGGTGTGTAATCCTGGGGTAGTTATTTCTTTTGTGTTAGTGCATTTGCTATTGGCCTTTTTTTGGGGCTGTAATAGCTTAAGGCCCAAGACTCTTGATCTTTAAGATGTGAGTGTGAAAAACATCCAGATTTGTGGTCTGTTCTAAACCATAGACATGCACATACACACATAAATCTGATGTAAAATTTTATGGGTGAACCTACTGCAAATTTTACCTTCATGAAGCCTTTTTGCTTTCTCGCTGCAGAGGTGCAATTCCTCCTGTGTCTATTTGATTCCAAGATAAGATTTTTAAGCAGACCAGATTAGATAAGAAGATGGGAAGAAAAGTACTGTGGTAGGATCTTGGATTAGGAGGAAAGGGAGTGAAAAGGAGCTCTTATGAGCAAACAGGAAAGCGTGGACTCCAACAGAGGAACCTATCTGTGGGATTTTCTGTGTATTCCGCTTCATTAACAATAAGAGGAGCTAAGGCACGTCAGGGTCTTAGCTGCACCAAGACTTAAAAAAAGTATGAACTAGAGAAGCATCAGATGAAGTGCATATGAAGTAAGCAATTTTATTAGTTTCTATGGTAACACACCACTACATAAAGCTAAAGAAGTAGTCCACAAAATGCAGCACTAATTTACCCATGTGAAGAGTGTCACTGTTTGTCTGATGTGTAGAGGCATAAGAAAACTGTAATGTGTAGTGGGACCAATCTAACTGTTAAATTAAGAGTCTGAGTCCTGGAACCATAGCACTGCAATATATTGCTGTGATAAAGCAGTTTGTATGGACTGGGAGGTGGGACTGCTAGATATTGACCCACATTTTTTCTCAAAAGGCTTATACCCTGTAACAGGATTGATGAAAGCAAAATGAAAATCATCTTTTGCTGTGAAAGGAAGGTCTTTAACTCATAACTGGTGGAAAAGCTGCTAGAATGGAAAAGACAGCACATCATGCAGAATAACTGGGGTCCTTTTCAAAGGTTTTTACACATCCAAATTAAGTTCAATGGGACTTTGGCAGCCCTGATACTGCTCTCACGTTCCTGAATGGAAAGGCAGACTCCAAAGAGAAAAATTCAGAATTAAATTCTGGTGTCTCTTTGCAATAATCTGAAAAAACCCTAAAACCCTCCCAGGTTATGCCTTGATAAAGAACTTCATCTGGTAGTTTCAGCAGGCAGTGCTGCCTCAGTGACCAGGTGACCCTTGACACTGACATAAAGGCTGCTCAGAGATTAATTGCCTTTCTGCTTTCTGCCAGTGATACAGGTATTTTTATGTATGAACTTCATCTCCTTAAATTGCTACTATCCTCCCTCTATTTCTTAGCTGTTATATAATAGTCATGTCAAAAGCTGGTATCTTGTTTCAGTGATGGTTTTTTTCAATTGCCCCACTGCTTCATGGAACCCCAACCCTTTTTCTGCCCACTCCGCATTTGGACTATTTGCTTGTACCAAGTGTCTGTCTGGCCCCAACAGCTCTGCTCAGTGATCTATATGAGATAAGGAGGTGAAAAAATAAAAGTAAAAATCAAGACTTGAGCTCCTTCAGAGCAACAACCAGAAGCTGGATGTGGGTATACTAGGACATCTAAATTAACAGTGGACAGCTTTGAGCAAATTACTGTTAAACTCTATTTCAAAAGTGATTATAAGTTAATTAAAAATTCATTTATAAATTCAGCATTCATGTCCTACCCTTTCAAATATAATTAACTTTCTAATTGTACTAGAATGTGGAAATGTAAGGCTGATATTAAAAGCATTTGTATATACTCACTAAAGGAAATCTCAGACCCAGCAACTTGCTGACTTTTTTTTTCCTTTGGAAATTCCTGAAGGTATATTCTAGTGACTGTTTTTCTGTTGTGATTGGAAAAACAGAAAAAACTCAGAGAATGGCCATATGTATTGGTATAACATTTTCTTAGATCTCTTCTGTGGTGTCTTCCCTTGTGAAGATCTACTGACACCTGATGGGATGCAAGTTTTCCAGAGGGGAAAAAAGCATGGCTGTTTAAAATAGCTTGCAAGGGGGAAAAGGACACAACCAGGCTTGTCAGTGATAAGCAATG